TTCTCGTTGACCAACTCCAGAGTCAGAGATCCGTTCAGCGTCTTGAGAGAAAGAAGAGTTTTAACATTTGACCTCTGCAGGTTGGTTCCTTTACCTCAGGTTATGTTTCCAGTTTCTTTGTCAGTCAGCTAGTTAGTTAGCTGGTTAGTCAGCTAGTTAGTTAGCTGGTTAGTCAGCTAGTTAGTTAGCTGGTTAGTCAGCTAGTTAGTTAGCTGGCAGGGTTCATTCAGTGGCAGAATAAGAGATGCTCTTCTTTTATTATGTAGTCAACATGTTTTGGTCTTAATATAAATCAGTGACACGACAAATCAGAACATGCTGCCACTAATCCGGCCCTCTAGTTTCTCCCTGTGATGTCATTTCCTGGAGAATCTTCAATCTGTTAAAGTTTATTTAAATCAAACCAACAAAGTTTGTCTCATTGTTACTCACAGAGAACTGTCCTCCTCTGGTCATGATGTAGATGGTGTACTGTTTCTCACTGACGCTGCCCAGACTAGAGCCTTCGCCACCGCCAACCACTGCTCCTCCGCCCGCTGCTCCTCCTCCCGCTGCTCCTCCGCCCGCTGCTCCTCCTCCCGCTGCTTCTCTCTCCTCTACCCCTCCACCCTCCTCCCTCCCTCCATCCTCCACCTCCCTGTTGGTCCGTCTGTCCTCCAGAGCGATGCGCAGAGCCAGGTACTTGGACAGGTGGTCCACCGTGGCGTTCGCTGTCGTCTTCACAAATCTGCACCGAAAGAAGATTCAATTCAATTCAATTTTATTTACATAGCGCCAATTTACATTATCTCAAGGCACTTTACATTTAAAGGTCAAGACCTTAAAACAATATTAACGTAGAGAAACCCAACAGTTCCCACAATGAGCRAGCACAGGCGACTGTGGAGGAAAAACTCCCTCATTAAAGGGAGACACCTCTGGAAGAACCAGGCTCAGTGTGGGCGGTCATCTGCCTCGACCGGTTGGGGTGAGGAAAGAAAAGGAAGGGGGGAGGAAAGGAGAGATGGGTGGAATGCGGGGGAGAGAAGAGAGAGATCCAATCAGAGAGAAGGACAGATGGTTCTCTCTCTCTCACATGTGCGCACGCACGCACACGCACGCGCACACACACACACACACACACACACACACACACACACACACACACACACACCTGGTCTGGTTATAGTCGTGGGCGTGGACCAGCTGTGGGTGGGGTCTGAATACCAGCTCGATCTCTGAGGCCACCCCCTCTTTGTGGCGTCTCAGAGGAGGCGTTGGGCTCCCACTGTCGGCCTCGGGGCCCGAGCCATCGTCCGACGCCCGCGGCCTCTTGCGGCTCGGCCCCGCCTCTGAGGGTGTCTGACCGCAGGGGTGAGGTGTGTGTGAGGGGGCGGAGTCGTGGGAAAGGTGAGAGCGGGCATCACCATTATCCTCCCCCCCGCTGAAAGTGGTGTTGTCACTTTCCTGAGTCGGCTTCTTCACCCGGTGGTTCCTGCAGGGGGCGACGGTGAAGTTACACAACAAGAATGACCCGTTTGTCTGATAAATAGATAATAAGAGTATAATCTGGCGTTTTTACAATTTTCTATCTTTGCACTTTTATTTTGTGAAGCACTTTACGACTTTGGTTTTGAACGGCGCTACAGAAATAAAGTTTCTTCTTATTATGAAGTTGTTTCTGTGACTCTGCTCTGACACATAATCTCTCACAGGCAGATACTGAACCGCTGTGATCGACCTCCTGTTGTCTCCCTGTCCGTCCCCCACCTCTCGGACCTGTAGCGGGCCTGCTGGCGGAGCCCCTCCTCGATGCTGGAGCTCAGCGCCTCCTTGTTGTGCAGACGGTTGAGTCGGTCCAGGACTCGTCGCTGGTGGGCCTCGTACTCTTCACGGCTCGGGTAGATCTTCGAGATCAGTGCATCGAAATTTGAGTCTCGACGCAGCGAACGTCTGGAAACCAGCTTCTTCCTGCAGGTCGGACACTCTTTGTTCCTGAGGAGGGAGGAAGTTTGAGACTGTAGCGCAATAATGCAAGAATCAACAGATACTCGTGTGGTTATATGGATATTTTCACGTAACCTCTTAAGGTCACAGTGAACTCGGTTACACGAGTTCTGTTTTCAAAGTTAACTTCGGGGTCACGTTGACCCAGAATTGAAGAGAACATCCTGTTGTTGTTCAAGTTGTTGAGTATTTTACTTTCACAGCAGAGGTCTCACTCATGAGTCATGTAGTACGCTACACACCACACGGACATTGTACTACTCATGAATACTGCATAGGAATAATTTGGACCGATAAGCCGTGACCTTTTGTTGCCATAACAACAGATTGATCCAGACAGACAGAGCCTGGGGAGCTCTCACCCTGATCGCAGTGCCGTCACGATGCAGTCGGAGCAGAAGCGATGCAGACACTCTTTGGTGGTCATGGTGTTCTTCAGCATGTCCAGACAGATGGGACACATCAGCTCGCTGTGCAGAGAGCGAGGAGACACCGCCACCTCTGTCCCGTCCATGATCGCCTCCTGGACACACACACAGACAACGCTCTGCGTTTGTATTTCTATGGGGTTCAGTATCTTGCCCGAGGACACTTTGGCATGCAAAGGAATAAGACTGGGATTGAACCGCCGACCTTCTGGTTGGAGGATGACCGCTCTACCATCAGGACTCTTCACACTATTCTGTAATCTTTTCACACCGCAGTGTTCTAACTAATCTACTGCTTCTTAGATCGTCACTCTTTTATTAAAACCTTTTAAATCTTATTGTGAACATTTCATGTCACATTTTGAAAACAGAATACTCCTGATACCTGCGGGCTCCTGTGCAGCTCGTACAGGCTCAGCTCCCAGGTTTTACTGGGAGTCTGGACGTTGACGGGAGCTGCCATCACTGCTGCAGAGAGAAAATCACAAACTGTTAAACTTCACACAACGATCAGCTTCAGTGAAACTCCACGTGACTCAGGTCAGGATTCACTTTCACAGCTTTAACATCTCCTCAGTAGTTGTGTCGGTTTCAGTCGTTCTTCTGTTGTTTTCTTTGTGAGTCTATTTCGTATGATGTGGTATGACTGTTGTGAAATTACAAATCAAATGGGTTTTTTCCTCGTAATTTATTTTCATTAACGACTTTTTTCTCATAGAATTGTAACTTTTATTCCTCTTAACATTTATTCATTCTTATAAAATGACGAAATTACTTTTATGACTCAGATTGTTTTTGTCTACTCTCAGTAATTGTGTCTTTTTTTTCTTTGTCTTTTTATCTCCAGCAGTGACCTGATGTTTCCCTCCTGTGTGTGAGAGTGTGTGTGTGTGTGTGTGTGTGTGTGTGTG